AATAATAACTAGCCGGAGATTAGTCCCAAAAGTTACACTTTCTTCAACATTCGTTCTACCACAACATATCCCTTCGTTAATATTCTTCACAATATTGTGAGTAAATTTTGTTCGGCTTATATTTCTGTTTCTGTATACTAATCATTCACTGAATAAATGTTTCTTTCTTCAAAACTTTTCTAATTAAACGAAATAGATTCAATAGCGAATTAAAAATAACTCGTCCAATAAAAAGTGCCACAGGATACAATAATAATTCAACTACATCATTGGAAGTATCCATTAATAATCTGCAAACTAAATCGATTGATTCAAAAACCTCACATGATCATTATCAACAATTACATGATTTAAATTTAAGAAAAGTTACACAAGCTTATTCAATTGGATTAAAACCATTTCTACCATCATTAACAAAACCAGCAGATTTAATGTTGAATCGTCAAATGATCGTCATCAAAAAAAATCTACAAAAAGCTTACAGCGTAAGCGTGCACAACAAAATATTTATCCATTTTAAATGATGTTGATGATGATAATAATAAGAATAGTAACATTTGAAACAAGAATTCAATTTGAAAAAGAAAATCAACATTGAAATTTTGTTTAAATAAGTATAGATAAAAATAACATTCCATATATTTCTATTTTCAATATTTATTAAACTAATAAAAAGTGATGACCCATGCAATGGGAGCTACTAATCAATCGCGTTCGTTTGAATGAATTATGTTTGTTGAATATTGAAAAAAAAAGTGTTTTAGTTATGGAAGGCAGCAGACATATTATCAATGGAACAGTTCAGTACTCAATAATAAAATCATACAACAAATTTAATTCTCAGATGGAATTCAAAGGTTAAATTATTAAAATATTGTAAGTAAACTTTTACTTAGTTTATTACATGAAGAAGAGGAAAAAAACAGTTTTATAAAGACAGAATGGTATTTTTATTGGTTCATATTATTGTTTTCAAGATTGTTTTATTCATTTCTTCTATCATCATTAACAATTAATTATAATAATTTGTTTTACTATACTTTTATGCTTGATTATTCATCTGTGAGAACACTGATAGATTATTGTCAAGATAATTGTGTTTGCTTGTCATTACATAATTACTGGCTTTTATCATTACTAATATTATGATTATCGAGGTATATCAGCATGAATACATGTGAATTTATACGTCATAGAGGTAGTTACATCATACAATAGTAGCTAACTTTCTCCATCATGACAAATACCTATAAATTCACGCCTATGTAAACTATATATGTATATCGTCTATCCATTCAATATACTTATGTACATGACACAACAATCGTTGTTCAGGTGGGTTGGTATTTGTATCAATTGTTTATTACCTTCGACTTTTAATATTGTCAATGTTCAATACACGTTTATGCAGAATAGTGTTGAACAAGTTGATCTGTTTACATCTGACTTTTCAACAAAACGTATTGTCCTCTACATAATAAATTAATAATGATGATAATAAATATTTATGAAACATGTTTTAAACTGGTATACTTACTATTTTCTTGTGTTTACTAATCTAGAATAGAATCAAAAATCTAAATAATAGACCTGAGATAATTTGAACTAGTTAATTTCAGTTTTTACTAGTTTGTAGTGTTGTTAAGTAGTCAATATTTATCATAATGAACGAATTCTTTGGAATGAAATATATCGACCCATTCACTCCATTATCTCACTAGTCCGCATTAGTATTTGATCTGTACAACTCCAAAAAGTTGTTGACAAGCGAAAATATAAGCATTTCTAATCAACCTAAAATTACTATGGAAGAGCACTTGAACGGATGATTTACAGTGATTAGTTTGACGATAACATTAGATAACCTATGGGATTATTCAAACTACGCAGTAGCATAAATCACAAAATCAGAGAGACCTCGCTGGTTAACAGACTCACAATATAGTTAAACAACCATCCATCCGTTTTCAATTAATATGACTACAGCTTTCTGTGGGATTCCAAATACATTTTTTAATCTGTCGAGCGAACTAAGTAAATACGGTTATGAAACAGAAAAGTTATCACCTACGTAAATATTCAAACATAGTAACAAATGGTCTACTGTTATTCACTGTTTTGGCAAAACAGTCAGATTCCAGTTGTCAATTACTTAGCTTGCAATTTGATAGAAATATAGTTATTTTCATTAGATTGTGTGTTTCCCGTGGATTTGGATTTAACCTGTTCATATTTGAATTTCATCAGCTGCTTAAATGAATTTGAAACTCATATATAAGCTTTTTTCACACTGCTCTCGAACTGTTCTCTTTTTCTACTTTAAGATGATATAATACAATTAAACTCATTTGTTAACTGTAGACGTGTGTACTAAGCTCTAGTTCCCATATACTATATAAAGACTAAAGAGACCCTAGGCAGTTCTTTATATCGAACCTGTCTGGAGATGCCTAGTGTATAAATTAAACTGTCGGAGCCATATTTCTACCACAGCGTTTCGGGTAAGGTCACTTTTTAGTAGTTTTCCTAGTTGAAAAAAAACTTCAAGGTAGCTACCTATCTATTGACGCAAATTATTGCATCCAAGATTTTTTAGCAGTATTTCATATCAAAATACTTGAAGTATATCCGAACATTTTTCGTTGCTTCATTTCAACCATTATGTTTACTAGATTATTTAGTTCATTACCAGCATAAGCACCCAACTAGGCTTTAATCCCACTTCATCTCGTTCAAAGAACCTCGTGATATGACGTATGGATGTATACAAACATCACTTACCTAATGTCTTGATAATAAGAATAAGTATACCTGGCACCAATCACTTTCTATAATGAACGTAAACAATACATGTTGAGGGGGTTAGTTTCCTTTAGAGAAACACAATAGAAACTATTCTTCAAGCTAAACTTAGTGTTCAGACGTATTTCACCTCAACTTGTGCTAGTATGGATTGCAAAATCATAATCGAAAACATTTAGACTGTCAGTTGACTGGATATAAAATCAGCAATGTTTTACAAAAATATGTCTCTGAATCTCACCATAAAGTATGATGAAAATTATGACGAGAATTATAATAGATATGGAAGTTGGGTCTCTGGTAATCAAGTTTTAATTTCGTTGGATGGTGAACGACCTGCAAAAGCTGCATCCTACAGTCTTTTATGCTTTAAAGTAAGCTTATTAATTTTGATGTGAAGGGATTTTGTGGAGATTCACTTGTGTGTGATGAACTTATCACAGTTGGAGCCCCATCAGAAACGAAGTACCGAACAGCTTCGTACTAGTACAGGACTTTTCAACTCTGGGTTTGAACCCTGGTATGATCGTCAGTTGGCACTCTTATATGGTCTTACACTACTGCAAAACAGCTGTCTATCGGTTTCTGGTTTTCAATCCTACTCTAATTGATGTCAAATGGTGATGAGTACCACCTAGACGTTCTTAGCAATGTCTGTTATCATGCTTAATTTATTAGTCCTGGACCTCACACAAATCGAATGGTGTGTGGCGCATAGTTGATTCCTCCTTGTACCAATGTTTATGTGTTTAATTTATTACATATAAGTATCGGTTTAGTTTTATTTTCTTAATGTGATCTGAATTAGCAATCTTTATTTAGTCGTATGTCACATCAATTCAGGAAAATCGACCACATACATCTGTAAATATGTTCCATTATGTATTAATTATAGTAACGAAATCATTTTTAAGGAATTGTAGTTTCTCTTGCAAAGAGAGAGAAGTTTAAAATAGGCTAAAATATATGGTGTACCTCCATCTATCTTAGATATCTCTTCAAGTAATATTTTATGAAACATTTTTATAAATAAAACTGATTGATTTGTGAAGTAGAGATGTGTTTTTTATCTATCTGCATTTTATTTTGCAGTAAGACTATTCTCAGTGTAAATCAAAAGAGAATGAATACTACTTGTATTCTAATATAGTAGAATAGATGATGCAACATAAAAACGACTAACAGTATGATAGTGTATACAGATAGACAGACTGTAAGTTTATATCACAAAACAATACAAGTTTCCCTTTCGAATATAATTATCATTCATTAATAAACAATTACCCATCAGTGATTCCTAAGTTACTTAAGTCAAAGTTGTCATAGAAACACCAAGTCAGTTGCACATGGTATCGGATTTAACCGTTACATTTCTGTTAAGACTAAGATGTAGTACTTCGAGATGATAGAGAAGACTTGCGACTCAAGAGGACGATTTGTACCAATGTTGTTCAGAAAAAGTGAAAGTTTCGGAAAACAACACTAACGAAATAGCATATTGGGATATTAAAAATATATTGGTAGTCCTTATCAAGTAGAATTTACTATTATTATTGTTGCTCTAGTATCCTCAAATGTTGCTAGGTCACAAATTCAACTGCTGATTATCTTTTCTAGCTAAAACTTTAAGTCAGTCAACTCATGTACTATATGTGAATTATGCTTTCAAAACAAGCGAGTCTTACCACACTGCTTTCCAATACTACCACCCAATAAATTATGAAAATCTAAGAAGCCTCATGCTTGTTTCATAAAAAGTATATGTATGCCGCAGATTACGCAGTTACGGAGATGCTAACTGAGCTTTCGGTATCAATACCAAAAATTTCCCAACCAAAACCTCATACCCATACAGAACTTAACCACTTAAATCCCTACTGTCAAAGTCATTGCTGATGAAATCAATTTTGATGTGTCAGTTCACAATTATTAGACCATAGAAGTATTTCAAACGATCTCGGATTCTCTCGTCGTGCCAAATGATGACAATAAGAAATAAATGTGAATACCTGTCGATTATTTATTTAAATGACAGAAAAACAACCACATAAAATGTATCCAGTATACAAGAATTCTATGTACAGTTATGCAATTGTATTTTCGCTAAATAAATATTTCACAAAATGCGACTATTTAGTTGGCAGAGTTTGAAAATATATTCTATTAACTGGAATTCACACCACACCTATTAAGTAACTCTAATGTGGTGCCTCATCCTCACTTTGGGACATATTATTTACAGCAATAGAGGTGAATGGAATGTCTGAAACATTCATGGCAGAGTAATCGGAAGAATTAGTGTTATTAATATGAAGGTCTGTACCTTCTAATTTATGACGTTCCATTATTCTTTCATCACAAATGTTTACAACAGGAGCAGAAATCTCCTGATCAATTGAGGTAATTCGTACATTAGAATTGTCTTGTGGTGTGAAATCTGAAGGTATATTATCTGGATGATTATAAACTTGTGGTGACACTGAAGCTTTAGCTAGTTCAGCAACAAGGGCTTCTTGTTTATCCTGTTCGGAGTTATTATTGCTGCTGTTGTTTGTCTCAGTGAAAATATTAGTTACCTGAGAAATTTCAGACGATGGAATACAATGTACAGCACTTGGAGCAATAGATGAGGTGGATATTTCAGTCACAACAGCAGGGGAAGAAGGCTCTTTGCGCGTTTTGAAAAAGTCATTTAATATTTTATCCATACTAGCTACACGCGGTTGACGAGGCGGATGTCTGGAAGTGCCTGCTAGACGTCTAAGTGGCAAGTTTGCATTTTGAGCAGCAGCACCAAGTGGGACTGAAGGAATAGATGGTTGATTTGGAGACTCATCGAAGTCGAACTCCTTTAACTTTACAATACTAGTTAAGGATTCTGAAACCTTCGGGCAGGATTATCATTTGTTTCGGTACGAATTTTGGTTGCTATAAAATTTTTTGAGAAAATGAAGAAAAAGGAATGTTAAATGTCTACAGCTAACCACAAGAGAATTGATGAGAGCGAATTAGAATAAAGACGATTTGAAAGTACAAACTGATGATAATTGTAGTTAATAAAATACACCAAATTCCTTATCAGTTCGCATTATGAGGTTTTTCCGAACGGGCGTTTGGACTAAGTAAATGAGTTCAATGCTAGTCGATAGGCGGTATGCAATCACTTGAGGTGATTGAGTGATTACTCACGAGAACGAATTATTGATGTGGTCCTTCAGTTGAACTGATATCACAAAATAGTTATTCGCCCAGCAAAATAGATCTCTTTTTAACTAAATAAAATGCGCACATACAAAATACTGAACACGAGAATAAACACGGTTATGAGTCACTTAACAAATAAACGATTGTAGGATATGATAATTATGGGTCATCGACCATTCAACAGTAGTCCCTAACTATCAAGCTTCATTCTTCCCCTGTTACGTATCAGTTTGTTCCATACAAAGAAAGAATGCTTGAACACAAGCTATCAAGAACAAACAGTGCAATTGACTGCGTGGACCGAAAGACATATGTAACGCAGGACCTAGTACTAAAGTATAATAATCAGGTTTAACACGGATTGAGTGAGACAAAACTAAAGGGATTAATACAAATAAGCGAAAACTAAAACGACTCAGATTGTTTTAACTAACGAATACCAAGTATCGCTTATTAACACGTAGATTCTGTTTTAAATCAGTATGCATGCTAATCAGCGGTAGATAGTAACACATCCCAACCACATAATTTGATTGCTTTATTACAGTTCACTTGTATTGCTTAATTCAGGAGTCCATTATACATGACCGTTACCATGAAGACATAAAACCAAATACAATTCACACATATCTTTAATTTCAAAGGCTATTTGACATCTAATACAGACTGGGTTGTTGCAGAATGTTCTGGTTTTTCATTTTCACCAAAAAGTGATATAATTGAGTACACCATGTACTTCACTACCCTCAAGTCTTAGTAGCTCTGGTAGATTTCAAAATCTCAACAGATACAAAGACACCTGAATATTTGCCAACTTCTGCAGAAATTCTCCATATATTAACCTATGGGTGAGGAACAGGGGCTAGGGCAATAGACATGTACAGGCGACGAGTATTCGACTGTAGATATCTTCAAAAAATTGATCATATTTGATGGAGCAACCTAGTAAGTAATTATGAGTGAGGTATCTTCACCAGCTTAGCTGAGACATGAGTTATGAACGTTACGCCATCACCTACCTCGGCATATAGTGATGGCGAGCATGGGAATAGGTTAGAGGTGGCCAAACAAAGACGTCAAACTAGACCACAACACTTCTTGTTTGTCTGAGTAATGTCTGTGACGAGACTCCCTGGATAGAATCTGCGTGATAGTCGTAATCTATGGTAAGCGACTAGATAACAGCCGCATAACACGTTCATTGATTATATATCTACACACCAAATCCAGATACCAGTTTCAATTGACATTTTTGGTGTTTCTTCATACACTAATTTTTTTAATTTTGACTTCACCGTTTATCTTGTACATGCTGAGTTTGTGTCAACTTGGACCGACTCGTGTCGGGTCCCACGCAAACTATCAATGAATAACTTTAATAGGCACACAAAAATCTAGCTTGGCGGTTTTACTTTTAAACAGCGACCCTTTGAGTGAAGTCTCAATATGATAAAATACGATGTTATATAATGAACGGGTGCGAAACGAAACAGTACATTTTGTTGATTAGTATATCTTATTTTTCGGGGGTTTATCTCGATCAAGTACGATTCGGTTTACGATTAGTTATGGAAGAGTAAACTTCAGTCGAGTACACAACTTAACGAAAGTTTTGGTCACTATACGGAAACTCTACCCAAGTCTTATCATATGATTCGAACGCTTATTATTTCAGTATGGGAAAGGACATCTAATGCAAGCAATATAGAAATCTTGACTTAACCATTATGTAAATAGTATTTCTAAGATAAATGACGGAATCAACCTCTTTTTTAGTAAAAATTATAGCAACCTAACCGAGATTTAAGCCAAATAAATACCTTGACTTCTTACTTATTCGCAAAGTACAAATGAGATCTTACTGTCTACGTTTAGGCCTTTAAGTGCTTCACTAGAAGAACCCAGTGTTACCTAGATATCATACCACATTTTTTCGCGCAAAATTCTAAACAGTAGATATGCATGTCCAGATAATGAACTGTTTTAAACACTGCATATCATAAAGTAGAATAAAGCAGAACATTAGTTCTATTCTTCTAGTTTTACCTCACAAACTCATTCTAAAGTTTGCTATTTCAAGGATGCATAATCTATCCTTAAAAAAGGTGGCCTGCGAATTCAGTATGGAGAAATGGGAGTCCTTATGTGAGTATCCTGATGTTTTTAAGCGATGTTAAGCTAGAGATTGGTGAACCGCAAAAAGATCGTTTGGCTTTCGCCAATTTACGTCACCTATGGTAAAGGTGTGATATCCGTTATCAATTAGAGGACAAGTATATTGAACATATGTGCCTGGTCCTATGTTGTATCTGACTGACTGAGCTACAATTAACATTCAGATACTTTAAATCCGATTATTGTCCATCATCTCACTATTTCATAAAAATAACAAGCATGGAAAACTCAGCTTTTAAAAGAATCATCCACAAGTAACTGAGGCAAAGGTACTTAACAACTAACTATCACGACTGAGTTGTTACAACTCCTCAAACGTCTTGACATTAGGAACTCGTTAACGATCCAAGGTAGAACATTTTCCAAGACAAAGACATAGGTAACTAGCAAAAAGAATATTGAGGAAACCAGTGTGTAAGAATAGATAAGATGAGTAGAGAGCAGGAATCCGTGTGACTGTGATTGGTTCCGCCCATAGTCATCTAAAATCATTTACATCCAAAGCAGTTGATTAGAAATTCGGAGTTATTCCTTAAGCACTTGTGGAGACGTTGGCGGAAACAGGTTAATTGGAAACGATTTTCGTACGTAGCAAGTCTCCTACTAACAAATAGATAGCCGGGCACCTTTTAATTTGAATGGAGTATATTGTGTCCAGAAGTTCCGACTCCCGTAAAGGCAGTGAACGATGAACCACATAAATTACTGAAAAAATTTAGGGACAAGTACCACAGAACAAATTATTCCCTAAGTTTGCATTAAACTTACTTTCCCTCTGAACGTTAGGATCGATCTTCCCTGGACAAACCCATTCTAATTTAAGCGGTTCATTTTTAGCGATGGAGTCATAAAATGGCAGCAAATCAACTAAAGAAAGCCCATTAGGATACTTGTCCATGAACTGAGTGTCATCATCAAGCAGACGAAAATCACTTCCTGACATTCAAATTAACGCTGTGATTTTTAAACCAGCCAATACCTTAAAAACAAAGCAAGACAATAGGAATTAAGTTTTTTAATGAGCAATTTTACATAACTCTAGTAAAATGGCATCCAGGAACTCCCATCAGCTGGACCCAAATCGCCACGAATGAGAAGGACGATATCCACTATCCACCAAATACCGGCCCCACCCAATGTTAGGAGTTTACCGAGGCCTGTACCAGTATGACCCAGACATAGTCGGTCAACACCGAAAAATCCTAGTAGTAAGCTGTATATAAATGTTGTTACAAAGTAATGTCCTTTGTAATGAAGGCAGGGATAATCGGGTAACAAAAAAGTACGATTCCCGTAGCACTCAATATTGTCCAAAGCATGACACACAAGTGATGTGAGCATAACCGAATCTGTCGCTTTTCCGCCCCATTTTAAACATCCGTATTTCAATTCATCGTATTGCGACTTGTTACTTCTTAAATCTAACAGATATTACAGTTAACAAGGTACCCACCTAAAGGAGGTTCACACCAAATGGAATGACGAGGAAGATAAGAGCATTTAACCAAAGGACTCATGGGGTCATAAGAAAAACCAGTCGACTCATCAAATAATTCCGAATGATTATCAGAATATTTGAAGTTTTCTACAACCGGAATGTCAAGGTAGTTGCTAAACACAGATATCCAGAGAAAAGGAAAAATAAGTAAAACATAATTCAGCGACGTAATTACAAAACAATCCCAAAATACATGAACAACAAACAGAGGGTTGAATGGTCCGCTTAAAATGAGTACCATAAAATAGTGACCATTTCGGAAGATTCAAACACTGCCAATATGACATGTGAAGTCAAAGTTTCTGTTCATGTGAAACAGACTCTACGTTGCACTTTACGAGCACTCTTATGATTCATAATGGGTGTCAGAGTCTAAAGTTCAAAAAACAAATGTAATTTGGTAAATAAAACATCATCTGCTATGGCCTCAAGGGGGATTTCGATAGCTTAAGCGTTGAGTGCTTCTTGTACTGCTGACGGTCTAGTTTCAAATCAGTTACGCACAGCCAATCATATATGTGTCTCAAGTTGAAAACAGGCAACAGCAGAAAATTCGCCTCACCACAGATCTCTACCTTACACGATAGATCACTTTACATTGGGCAGTTTGTCGAACCTCACCAATGTCATGACTGACTAACATCTTCATTCATTTGCACGTCATCGATTATCCCGTGTGGTGCTGGTTTCACTCCGACTTCCTTTAGCTTATTCTTACCCACACATTCCTTGATTAGTAGCATGTTTATTATATGCAGTCATTAAAGTAGCTGTAGTACATGGATACCCCCAAAAGGTAGTACAAGTTATTCTCCAACCAAGCGCTATGATTTCAACGAAGATCACATTTTTCCCGCCCAACTTCAATAGTTCTCAACCACCCATGTAGTCATTTTACGTTAGTGATTAACATCATTCTCTGATTAAAAGAGTACTGAAGCTTTATCGTGAACAAATCCAAACTGGAACAACAAATATCTAATGTCCCTATTCAAGTTGCCAGGAAAACTCAACTTGTTCCTTTGAACCAGAGTATTTTTGCTGTAAGTCAGTATTTATAATTGAAAGTTTTGTGGGATTTGGATATTTATTGAGACCTTGGAAACGTCACTGCGGGCTCGAAAATTCATTAAGTTACAATACAAGCAGCCAAAAGTAATTTTCATCTCTGAATCTTGTACCAGCTTTGTTCAGAATCTTAACCATTTTAGTGTTATTTTCATTTATGTTGCCATATATGTTATCTATGCTATCTAGCTCTTCAGTTCATATAAAAACCCTAGAATAGTTGCGGGATGCAAAGTTCAACTGCAATTGAGGAGCGACAGGTCATCAAGATTAACAAACAATCTCCGGCTGATATGGACGATGCATGTAACCTTGCTACGTCTTTGATCCCTTTGTCTACTAACATACAGGAGAGTTGGTTCTGAATAAGTTTGAGACCTAGGTACTGATATGTCTTGTCGTTTGAATGCCACTTTTATATCTGGTCATCGCTGATTGTCGTATTGGAAACGATTATCACTTATATTCGAAACGAAGGATTTCTGCAATTCCTACAATGTGAAAGTAAGAACACAAAGACTAGTGTAAGTGAAGATTTATTGACTTAAAAACACGACGACTCTAGTAGAAAATATACTCAATTATATATTGGTCGTACACCCATTTCGATTAATAGTTAGGATGAAACCATATATACGAAAAATACATAGAGTCATAACAAATCACATACTGAGCATAGTTCATGTCAAGCGAATACAAGAATATAGTATATTATACAGAATGAAATATCATGCGAGACAATAAAATAAATACTACATTGAGTAATCATTATATTGGATCAAACGGAAGTAATGCCAAACATAACTCATATGGAGTAAATCAATCGAATTTTGACTTTTCTTTCCATCATATCACGTTAGTTATCTAGCTCAGCCTTGAGGCCAGTAATGCAAGAGTCTGATTTATGACTGAAAAGCCTTGGGGGAATGAAAATTATTTTCTTGACGGACGAGAAAAAAACGAGTTGACCGGAACACTAATTGGTTTGTCCCTGATTCATATCAATGCATAAAGGCATGAATAAATTAGCAACAAGAGCGACTACAATGGACAAGGAGTTCAAAAGGACAACTATTTTCAAATTAGAAATTAGGAGAGAACAGTGAAGTTCAAAGGGTTATGTTTAAGTTACAATAATTTCGAAATAAGGAAGAAAAAAGATGTAGATTATACATCAAACAGAAGCTTAAATTTATGGAATAAACCAGAGAAAAAACTAAAAATGTTACTATTTTCAGACTTTGAATCAAATGAAACAGTGTCCCCAAAAATATATTCCGTTGTTCTTCAGTATCCCCTCATTGTTCTCTTCACACTAGAACTGTAATTGCTAAACCAGCTAGTTCTTTCATATTTTACAGAGAAACCAATAAATACCAGTAAAATTTGGCGGAATCATAAAGGATATCAAGGTGGATATTTGATACATATTGTTCACTGCAAAAACTCCGACATGGTAGCAAATATGAAAACGTAGGTATTATTACCAAGGCGTGACTTGATGATTTCGAGTAAATTAGGGATTGGATAGATTGTTATCAATAAATTAATATATATGTAATATCCCGATGAGTAGAAAAATTGAATTTTCTGACGTTTTGTGACTCAGTGCAAGCCACTTCTCCAGAGAATAAATAACGAAATCAAAATTAATCTAAGTTTAAGTAACATGAGGGAACAAAACACACAACGTACTTAAAACCGTACAGATAAGATTCGAAATCTGACCCATCATAACAAGACCCACCAACCACTACTGACGATCTTATAAAACACTTATATGCTTGTAGTGTCGGTTACTATGGTAAACCCACATAACTTCCTTTAGTTTTTGGACAGGTCAGTTTACTCATTCTTCTTGCGTCACGTTCCGACCTTGTAAATTATTTACTCACTAAGCTTGAGTGTTCTTATATGAGCGTATGTGAATACTTCTTACCCCATTCATCACATGTCTGTAACTTATTTTTGTGTGACAATAAATATCGATTAACGCTTGAATAAATCGAGTTGGCTTATATGCCTTCTCCTCTGAGCGTCATTTCACCTCAATTTTTTTCACCGCTTCCTTTGTTTTGTTCCTCTGATTGGCAGTTCAGATAAATGATTGTACAATATATACGTATTCGAAATCCTTTCCGTTATATAGTAACTCAAGTTAAGTCAGTGTTGATATACGAGGATTGGCTACATGTATGTTTCAATAACGATGTGTAGTGACTTACTTTTATCACGAGAACACGATTGGTTTAATGAAAACAATAATTATTATAACCAATTGTACCAGTGACTGTTTTAATGTACTCTTTGTTTAACTTTACTAAAAACATCCATTATACTCACTTCGATTGTGACCTCGCGCAAATTCGGTTACGCTCAGTAACCAAGCTTGTATCCTGGTGTAGGATCCAAACCACGTTTGGACTGCTGGACAGCTGCCTGGATAAGTTCGATACGCGCCCTCGCCCGTTTGAAACCAAAACAAGGTAATTGGGTAAGATAGTGGTTCTATAATTTATCATAAATTTAAGTATACATTATTACCTAAACAAATATAACCACACAGCTATCCAACCAATAATTGTTTAATTGATCAAATCTAAACTACAATAAATAAGAAAGTTGATAAAGAATGCAAGAAAATTACCAATCACCACAAATAAATGTTATTCTATCCTGTCTGGATAGATCACGTACAGATTCGTTCAAAAGGTAATAATTGGTCGCTCTATAACACAGTGTTTTCAATTCTGGAAGAGTGCTTCAATTCACAACCAAAATGCACAATTCCAGTCAACACAGGTAAAGCAATCCAAAGCAAGGATAAACCAAAATGGCTGCCGCTCAGACTTAGTACAAAGTAAAACAACATAAGTGCAGTTCGGGAAGAAACATGGGGAATTAGTGGAGGTGTGGTAAAAACAAAAACTATAATAAAATACAAAGATTAACAATTCAAATGTAGTCCAAAAGTTAACAATGTACAACTAAGAAGATCAATAGGAACAAAGTGCAAGTATATACATGGAGGGATTTTCACAAACACACAAGGCATTCAAAATGGATCTTACACCTGGCACGATCTCGGTATTGTTTCGATACCACGAGATCGCCAGCAAATATATCTCGACTTGGTCCATTAACTGCCTTCTGATATGTGGCTTCCAGGGGATTTTATGGATATCCTGGCACGCGTTCCTTTGTAGTGGTGTTTATAGTCAACCGGGACTCGACACAACGCTACAGATCTATCAAACGATATAATCGAAATCATTTGAGGCTCCACAAAAGGCTAAGAATCTTGTACAAAAGCAAAATATACATAAAACAATGTGACCATTTCAATTTTTCCAAGCTGTTTGAATCATACTCCAGGT